GTGATTTTAAATGTTACGCAGATCAAAGAGTACAAACACAAAACCTTACCGGAGGTTATTTAGATAATTTCTGTGGTTATTGTGATGGATTGATGTTTATTACATAGCTTCAAAGTTTGAATTTCATGCATATTATGCATATTATTTGTGCTTGCCATTGGGAAAACGCATTGGATTATGGGAAAGTGAATGCTTATAAACAAAATCGGCCGTCGCCTTTTATTAGTTTTGTGCTCTTTTGTGCCATTGCATGATTATTACGTGTTTTTCATGTAAATTGTCACACTTACAAGATCTTACTAAATATAGGACTGACGTAATCCTAGAACATCATTCAGCGTGAGAAACAGATGAAACGTGGACAACGTTCACCGATGATAACAATTTGAACCCCAAGCGCAATATTTTGCTGTGTTTTTTTTCAGTGTTTTGAATCTTAAGGTTGTTTAAAGGGGAACTAAATAGAGCCTAATTTGGTGTTTGTATTTATCAAGTTATGTATATTGATTATAAATTTGAAAAAAAAATTAAAAAAAATGATTATCTTCAGAGTTATGATGATTTAAATATGAGAAACCATAAACCCGCGAAGGACTTCCGTTTACGCCATCTTGCCATAAAATAATGCCCTCATGAGGTATAAACAGGAAAGGTAACAAAGCGTGATGACGAAATAGTATCTGATTAAATATAAACAACTTAAGGAGCCATAGTTGGCTGTACTGGTGAATTGACTTCTAGTCTAGGTTGTTTTGACTTTTACGTTAATATTATTTACAAGCGTATCAACATACAAACATTATGGATGTGCGATTGATCGAGACAGGCATTTTTTTTGTCTAACTGTCTAATAAATGTTGTTTCCAGTACTGCACTGTGCGTGTAAATTATTTCAAAGTCTGGATGCTGGAGTTCGTAGGGTGGCGGTGGAAACATTTTTGTCCATGTATTCACGGGGCTGCACTGGCAAATCATGGGACAATTGTCACAGGAACACCAAGCAGATTGTTCACAGACTTCCGTGTAATTTGAAATAAAACTATCATCCGAACAAGGGGCATCGTCGACGATATACTAGTACTCTCATCACTCACACTGGACTGATCTGAATCTTCACAGTATACCGTACTTCCCTGATCATAAGCCCGAGCGCATAAACATGCAAGGGTAAAGTAAGGAATGAGCTTACACTCGAGGACCAACTCAGATAATATTATTTTGTTTTGGGGTTAAACACTGTAACCATCTTGCCAACAACGACAAATTATTCAAAAAAATTATTCGTTCACCACGCCGGGCTCGGGAAAATAATACTTATTTTTGAAAAAAAAAATGCGTCATTGATATCCACAAAACTTACAATGAAGAAAAAAACATGTTCATAAAAAAAACACACACATTTTATTACAATACGATTTACATACCATCTGAATTTACGTTGAAATTATGGGTAGGGTCTGTGGGGAAACAGTCGAAGGCATTTATCATTATCTTCGTTTTGGTATATTTTTGATCGTACGCAAACTTTCGATACAAAGCAATTTTTCACCATGAGGTTTTTCAGCACGATTTGACCTGAGACAACTTCCTTTGACCTAACAGGTCATGTCATTCATTAACCAATCAAAATGATGTGTCATAATGATGAAATTTATGTTGATTATTGACGGTGATTTTTTAACGCAATGCGGAAGTGAATTTAATACCGCAATGTTAAAATGCGATCTGTAGCACTGATTGCAACGGAAAAACGATGATTTTTCCCCCTCAAAACTGGCGATTCGCAATTTCCGAAAAGTAAACGACAGTTAATAGTAACTGTGGGTAAACTGAGTGTGGAGGAATAATTTAAACACCTTTCACGGTCGCCAACATGTCACATCGTTCAAACCCTAGGCCTTGCGGGATAGCCTCAAAGTAAACGAGGGCTGAGTAAACCATGCCCAATAACCAGGTACACGACTTAATGATCACATTTTTGGCTTTTCGAAAACTACAACTCAAAGAAATATGGATTACTCCAGAATTGCAACATTGGGGTTCATCCTGAGTAAATGACGGAATAGAAAGGATGCGAACCACGTTGTGTACGTTCGCCATGCACTCTGAAATTAATGCAAGTTTTCTCATAAAAGCACAAACCAAACTACTATGCCAATCACGATTATTATGCAACGAAACACACTTTTTACACTCATATTTTAAAGAATATCGTCGAAGCCCAGTAAAAACACTCTGGGCTTATAATCGTGAATGCCCTCAACTCAATAAGTACCTAGTAAAAATAGAAGGATGGGCTTCATACTCGGGAGGGGGTTACGATCGGGGAAGTACGATACTTTAACGCAAATTATTGGGTTTCCAATCTCAGAATACTGTGGTTCAAACTCATAATGCTCTAACCCAATTTGTAAAAAGCACATTGTGCATATAAAAGTTGAGTTTATACTAGTAGTACACAATGCTTGTCAGCATGAACGGCTATGTGCAATGGCGTATACGAATGCGATCAGATACTAAAACGTCATAGCTTTGAAAAATACTCAGATGTTATATATGTTCGTTCGTTATTTATTCCCTCCATGAATGGCCTCCATGGTGTTTAATTGCAAGCACTTCAAACGCCTATCCAAGCTACAGTTATAATTAAAACAAAATTAAACCACTGCAATATTATTTCGAATACAGTTTAAAATATACACAACCATAAATTAAGGCCGCATTTAGGTTTGATTTAATAATGCCTGAACAAAGTCATTGAGAAATTATATAATTTTTGTTTACTCGTTTGTTTGTCTGTATGGAGTGTCGTCATAACATGTTATAATCCTTAGTTATGTCATTTTAAACAAACGCTATTCGTAAGAAGCTCCTGACCCAGATATGTTGTGAATACTGTAACAGTTTAATTTTGTTTATAGCTCATAAATGGACTGTCAATCCATGTTGAGCAGCAGTTTTTGCACAAGCCATGATGAATATTAATTGTTTGTTATTCTATTATCAGGCTTTTCAAGA